TCAAGTCGGATCTGACTCATAGTCACCCAGTATAGGGTTTCCAGGGAATGGCTGGTGGGTTTGAACTACCAACTTTGTGGTTAGCAGTCTATGCTTATCCTACAGTGCACACCAGGACTCCATTGTATTTGGTGAGGCAGCTATTATTCCCATTTTGTACATGAGATATTTGTTGGGATTTTATCCATGAAAATTCTTGCTTCTGCCAGAAATCTGGTATATCCAATCCTTGCTGAGGCTACCTGAACTCTTTTGGCATTTTTGAGTCCAACAGGTATTGTTAATGAGCGTCTCCAAACCTGCATGAGGGACAGATTATAGTCACTCTCTATAACTCATATCTTGAGGTGTGGTCTGTGGTGTGCTCCTTACTAAGTGTTGCATTAAATAAAGATATGGAACTCTTTAGCCAAAGTATATTGGGAAATAACACATTGAACTGTGATGGAAGTAAAGATTTTTCATTGCAGAACTTTTCATGGTAAGTACGAGTTTGGATGTGTGGTAGTTGCATACAGTCAGCAGAATTTTCCCTGCCATTCTAATCCCCTTTAGGGGAAATGATATATATGTGGAGTATAGGCTTTGGTGAATACAGGTCTTTCTCTTGATACCCTTTTCTTCTGTCTACTTCCTCCTTCTGGGTTTGCACCTATCTGGTACTTTATGAGCTTGTGTGTGTGTCCATGTGTACATAAGTATGTATAATGTTTATCTTGTATTTAGAGAGAAAGATGAGACTTTCTACTCCTGTAAAGATTTATATAGCCTTGGAAATCTTATTCGGGGTCGCTATGAGTTGGAACTGACTTGATGGCCCACCACCACCATCACCAGCACCCGTGTATTTAAGCTCCCACAAGGAAGATGTGATTGTCTCTGTTAACCTTTATATCTGGATACAGCACTGTTATTGGGCAGAGTTCTCTTCCTGAGAACTTGTTCCATGTGTCCTCCAAAAGTTTGTGGAAAATGCCATGATTTTTAAATCCCATTTTCCATGAACTTTTGAAGACCCTCGTATTGGGTCCAGAATTAATATATGTTGACTGAAAGTTTGGCAGATCTTTGCAGTCACTTGAGAGTGTTGTTGTTAAGTGCCGTCCAGTCGGTTCCGACCCACAGCGACCCTGTATAGGGTTTTCTAGGAGCGGCTGGTGAGCTTGAACCACTGACCTTGCGGTTCAAACAACTTTGCAGCCAATGCATTAACCCACAGCACCACAACAGGACTCCTGTATCCCCATTGGAGAATCGAACCCTGACAGGCAGGGCTACTCACTGGGTAGCATAATCACCAGTCTTATTGCATAGCCTGTTCATGATGGATGGATTATTTTTTCCATCTTACTGCATCTTCAGTATCTTTTGAATAGAAATTGACTCTGTCAGAGTCTCTAAATATCCAAAGTGAAAAGTAAGCTTATTTGAATGTGCTATTTCTGTTGCTTCATAAAATGATTCTTTTCCTTTAAGATTGAGTTCATATGCCATATTCTCAGTGAAGCTTTGCGTTTTTTTCAGACATTCCATTCCATTCTTGCAGTTTCCATAGCTCTTTTAATGTATTTCTCTCTGCACGTGCGTCAGGGTGTATTAGATTTTTGTCTCTCTAGCCGCACTTTGAAGGTGGAGACTGAATGAAAGTTAAGTAGTATATATGTGCAGCCAGGATCTCATTAAGCACTTAAAATACCAATTTCCTGGAAAGGCAAGCAAGGAATAGTAAAGAAGCATTGTAAACATCTAGAAGATACTTTGGTGTTTGTTAGGTGAGGGATGGTGGGACCAGCAAGGTACTTTGACCCTCGCAGTGAACTGTGATGTAGTTCTTATTCCCTTTTTATATAAAAGTAGATGAGTGCTTTGTGTCTGGTCACATTTGTCTAGTAATAGTCACGTGACTACAAAATGTTGAACTTGACTGGGTTTGACTCCAAGCCTCATATTGCTACCCCCCCTCCCCCCCCCCGTGCCCCCGTGTACTGCCTAACTTACTCACACCAAGCTGTGATGATCTTTTGTCCTTTAGGGAAATCTCTTCATGAGAAAATAATTATGTTTTTCAGGTGGAAACTAGGGAGAAAATATGATATATTGATAATGAGCTTTTCCTCTAGAACTAAGGCTTTTACGTTTCTGTTGGTTCAGTGTTAACAGGTTTGGCTTTTCTTCTTAATGGATTTGAAGTGCTAACTTGCTGTAGTTTTGATTTGTATTTCCGTAATGACAAATGATGTTGAATGTCTTCTCATGTGCTTATTGGCATTTGTATATCTTCTTTGCAGAAATGTCTGTGGAGGTCCTTTGTCCAGTGTTTTATCGTTGCTTATTCTAGTTTGTTCTTAGTATCTTTATAATAAAGAGGATAATCTCTCCCAATATTGTTGTTGTTCAGTGCCATTGAGTCGATTCTGACCCCATAGCGACTCTGTATAGGGTTTCCGAGGAGCAACTGCTGTTAAATTGATTCCGACTCATAGCAACTGTGTAAAGGGTTTTTGAGGAGTCTTTGGTGGGTTTGAACTGCTGACCTTGAGGTTGGAGTACAGTGTTTATCCTACAGCACCACAGGACCCCTTATATTAGACTTAATTAATTGGGACTTAAATATCATATAAATATCATATTTTAAGTGCATGTTAGGTGATTAGATGTGGCAGGAGCTATAATAGTTGCTTTCTTGGTGATTTCATACTAAAGTTTCTAAATACTAGCTACATGCTAAAGGTGTGGTTGTGACTAGTCACTATGAGCCTCAGTGGGCTGTCACCTCATAAACACTGGAAGGAGACCTGGTGGTGGAGTGGGTTACGTGTTTGCCTGCTGAATGCAAACTTAGCAGTTTGAGTCCACCAGCTGCTCCACAGAAAAAGATGTGACTTTCTGCCCTTGTAAAGATTTACAACCTTGGAAACTATATATAGGGTCACTATGAGTTGGAACCAACTCAGCTGTACACAGTCCACCACCACCACCAAACACTGGAGGCTCAGGAGTAAACGGTGTTGAAATTAATGTTATAGAAAGTAAATTCTGTTTTAGGTTATGGATTATCTGGAAAATATTTTTTTTGCTGTTGTTTATAACCACATCTTTTCATATGTATCCTGGGGCCCTAGAGAACGAGAAGATGAATTTTACTACGTTCATTGAATCACCTTCTCCTCATAAAGTTAATTAAAATGCCTCCACATCCTGCAGATTTTAATCATGTAGATTAATAAACACATGAAGATCAGATCATAAAATAAGAACCTTGAGTTTCAAAGATTAATCCAAAACTTTATGTCAATAAAATTAGCTATTTTTCATGTTAGAAGTTTCAGGATACAGAATGATGAAGCAAAGAGTATGCCACATACGCCTCTAAACTTTTGTGACCTATCACAGTTTGGTCAACATGCATCACAACTCCTGTGTTAGGTTTCACTCTTAACCCCATTTCACAGATGTGCAGACGAAAATGCACAAGTAGCTTAGCCTTGATTGCATAGCTTTTAAGTCATGGAAATGAATTCAGAACCTAGGTATTTGGAATCCAAGAACACTCCTACCTGTTGTTTGTTGCTGTCTAGTTGATTACAACTCTTGTCAACCCCATTAGAACTGTTGCTCTATAGAGTTTTGAAAGCATATTGCCAAGGCTGTCTTCCAAGCATACTACCAGGCCTCTGGGTGGGTTTGAACTGTCAACTTTTCAACTGGTAATTGACCACTTAACTGTTTGTGCCATCCAAGAAGTGCTACTGGTACCTACTGTACTATTTTTGTATTGACTTTAGATATGTAGATAGAGATGCTTTTCTTAAGTGTTCTTAGTAATGTTGAATGCTAAATTATGGTCTGAATACAATTATCTGGCATAATTTTACTTTCTTAGAAATGTTATTGTAAAGGGTTCAATACTCCTTAAATCTTTTAGGCATGAATTTCTTCTGCTCTCATACAGAGGAGGAAGATAAGGCTAGGGGAGAGAAACAAGTACTTGAATCAAGTTTCTGTGAAGACTGGCTTTTGAAATCTCTTGTCAGAATTGCACTACTTTTATATCTTACTTTATGGTTAAGATAAGTATGTGGGGAACATTAATTTTCTTCCATTGGGTGTGGCTGCAAGTGTACATTATGAGCGTGTGAAGCCTTCATTTTGAAGATGAAAAAGTCTGATGGCAGGCTTTGTGTTTTTTAACTTGCAGCCCAGTGGTTGCTTATCTCTATCAACACACTGGGGAAGGAGGCATGTATCTGACCTGACCTCACAGCTGGATGTCCCCAGGCATGTGCCATCTTCATTGGAAACGAGCCACCCCTTGCATTATGTTCTGCTTGATTAGACAACGAGCTCTTCTATAGCTGTCAAAAGTTTATACATGTCTTTTGATAGCTTGTCAAATTAAAAAAACAGAAAAGAATATTCCGGGCAAAAGTATGTTAAATGACTTAAAACTTATGTCCAAAGGCATGAGTAACATAATTCTTTGAAGATTTTAAAGAAAAACAGAACTTGCATTAAAAAGAAGTCTCTTCTACAAATATCATAGGACAAATTCAAACCTGGTGACTGGATGAATTGCATTAGATACATCGACTGATAAGGCTAAATGATTTTCATGTTGGGTGTACTTTGGATATGCCAAGAGTCACCTTGAGGAATTAAAGAGACAATTTGCATGATTTTTATACTTAAAAAGATAAACCTTGAATTTTGCTTATTTTTAGCCCCTTAACTACATTAACTACATAAAGTAGCAGTGAAGCAAAGGTCATCTCTCTCATCATATCTTCACTATCGAATTTATGCTTGATGTGCATGTATGTGTGTGTGTGAGGTATGGTGAAAAAATTGCATAGCATTTGTATTGTTAACGAAAGAATGTTAGAAAACAAATATGTTAATGTATAGTAAATCTTGTTTCTAATATGATATCCTTTATTTATAGTACTTTCAGAATCTTTCAGTGCCTGAAAAGTAAAGTCATTATTTTTTTTCCTCCTCAGAAACGTGCTAAGGGACAAGTGTTATTTGACAAAGTATGTGAACATCTCAATCTCCTAGAGAAGGACTATTTTGGGCTTGTGTTTCAGGAAAACCCAGAGCAGAAAGTAAGTGATTTCATTTATATCTTATTAAAATATAATTTATCTCAGCTTGAAAACTTACTTTATATAGAAAGAATCACTTTTTAGCTTTTTGTCACTTTGTGCATGTTTGTGTTTGCATGCTTTCTGTTTCATATGTTGTGAGCAGACCTTTAGGGATCCACTGTCTTTATGTTAAATTTTTGTCTTTCAAATTACATCAGGAAGCCTATTTGCTTAATGAATCTGTAAAACAAAAGTACCTTAAAAATAATGTGTTTTAACCAAAAACTTTTTTAATGGAAAGCAATAATTGTTCTGGCATAGAGTAAAATAATTTTTTACAAAGTGGTCTTATCGCAGTCATATCCTGTTCTAGGTTTGGGGGTAATAAGTGTGACAGAGTACTGATCACATCTGCACATATGACAATCAACTGCACACTAGGAATCAAGCCTGCCTGAAGTGCTGAGCAGGATGTTCATTGGCAGGAATGCAGTGGTACCCACGTGTGCCTGCCTGGAGGCTCAGGAGGGAGAGCTTGTTTCCTGAATTGACCATGGAGACTCTGTTGGGTGAAGGTGCTCCTTGTTATTTTGTTGGAATAATAGGACATAAAAGAGAGTAGATTTGACCAGCTAGTGATCCAGCGGAGATCTGTCTGACTTCAGGAGTACATTGAGTTGAGGCCTTTTCTGTTCCACAGGTTTTATAGGACACTAAGCAGAAACATAGTGGATGCTCTTAAGCTTAATGATATTTCCAGAGAACTCCAGGAGCTTCTTAAGTTTCATAAATAAATTTAAAGAGAAGAATATTAATTAGTTCTGGCAAAACCAGAGTTAACCTGTTCTTTGCTGGCTTTCTTTGTGGTTTAACAGTGTGTAAAGGCTTTTCTTGTTAACTTCTACTAAACTTTGAATGTTATGGCTAACTTTGGTTGTTGTTGTTAAGGGCCAATGAGTCAATTCTGACCCATAGCGACCCTGAATAGGGTTAACAAGGAGGAACTGGTGAGCTTGAACTGCTGACCTTGCAGTTCAAATGGCTTTTGCAGTCTTGCGCATTAACTCACAGCACCACACCAGGAATTGCTTACTTTGATGAGAGACGTTAAATATAGGAGTGCAGAATAAAAGTTTGGTCCCGGGTTGCATGTAGAAAGAAGCCTTTTTACATCGTTAGATTGTAGTGGTGGACAGAATTACTGTGACCATTCTGTTTGAGGATGCCTATACCACTTAATTATGGTAACAGGTGTTACTGTCCAATGTCTGACTTGTAAATCACACTCAATAGAACAGAACCATCGTTGGAAGAAGATACTGTGAATCTTGTTATTTGCATACATGCCATCATGATTTGTCTTTATATGCCCCAGTCATGAATTACTAAGTACTCTTGTTGATAATTAAGGAGCTCTGGTAGCGTAGTGGTTACAAATCGGGCTGCGAACCTTAAGGCCAGCAGTTCGAAACTACCAGCTGCTCCGTGGGAGAAAGATGAGGCGTTCTGCTCCCGTAAAGATTTACAGCCTCGGAAACCCTGTACAGGGTCTCTATGGGTCGGAACCGACTCGACGGCACTTAGCAAAACAACTTGTTGATAATTATGTATAAATTAAATCTTCTCAACTTGCTTAGTTTTAAACACTTGATATATAATTTGTGGTTTAGTTCCCCATTTATACTAAAGACAATTTAATTGCATGCTTGCCTACAAAGTAATATGCAAGTTGTTTTTTAAAAATTTTTTTCTAAAGGTTTTTATTGTGGATTGAGTGAAAGTTTACAGGGCAGATCATCAGTTTTACCTTCAACAAATCATACACCTTGTTTCATTACAATGATTATAATCCCCTCTGTATACCATCAGTTAACAATATTCTCTTTATTCACTTTAGCTTTTTAAAAAAACAAAACTCTTAGGCATATGTAATAATTTACATCTCCAAAGGGCACATTCTACAAGCCTGTCTCCTGCCCACCAACTCTTAGTCCCTCTCTTACCATGAATCTAGAGTCCTCAGCTGCTGCCCCTCTCCATGTCCCCATCTCTGCCTCCATCTCTTGTGTCGCTGCTTCTCTGGATAAGGTCTTACATTCTGCTTGTGCTCTTCTCCCTTGATGGTCCTTGGGTCATCAATTTCTGTACTGTTAGATTAACCACTTCCCTGTTTTTGTTAAAAAACTTCTACCTTTACAATTGTGACAGTCACAATTAGTCATGATAACAATTAGTCACTATTGAATCATTGGAATATTATCCCTATCTCTTTTCACCAGACCCATCTAGACAAGATGAAATCTATTCAGTGGGGACTCTTTGTTCCCCTCCATACTCTTAAACTAAACTCCCTCTTGAAATCTAGTAAGCCAGTCACTTCATGACTTTATCACCCCCTCATTTTAGATAGCCAATGTCTAAGTTGCCCGTCCCTATCTACCCTGTGTACAGAGGGGATAGCATTAATACTTGGTGTGAAGACTCCTTTCCTCTCTGTTGGTATTTAGAGTTACTACCTCCATGAGTATAGGTCAGGTTCATCAAATTGTAGCAATTTACCCTTGTTTCCTTTATTTAAAACATTTATTTGGTAATCTTCCCTAATCGAGTTCTAATAATTAAGCCATCGAGGCTAGGTCAAATGGGTACTGTCAGCAAGTTTGGATGTTCTTGTGCATCTCCCCTCACTTCATATCAACTGGATGCTTCACTTTCAGCTCTAGCCCTCTGTGGCTCTGTCCTTGTCCATGGGCTCAAGTGTCCCCAGGGCTCACCACACTTTGGACCAATCAGACCTTCCTCTTCTCTCTCTCATCTCCAGGTCAACGGGGGTCAGTGAACTTGGTTGAACTCAGCCCATTTTTTCATTGATGCCTTTCCGCCTCTTCCACTCACCAGTAGACCAATGTGGTCAGCAGCAAGCTTACATGCCTGCTCATGTGTTCCCTTTGAGTTTCAGTCTTAGAGGGGAGTTTGTCCTAAAGGTACTTGATTGCTTGTCTTGATGGCTTCCTGGCGAACAGCTTACTTTTTCTTGTAGTAGCCAAGCATGCTGACATTTTTGTTATGAGTTTTCTTGATGACCTTTCTTTGAAGATGTGTCTTCTGTTGCTCTAGCTTTTCCAGGCTGGTCTGCTTGTCCTTTCTAGTGGGAATGTCCCATCTCTGAAGGTTCTGGATGGTACTCAGGATTCCATCCAAGGTCCTATACTCTGTAAAGGCTTTTCAAGAGGCCTATTCCACTGGGCAAGTTCTAGAACCCCTTTTAGGTATTCCAATCAGTTATAGGCTGAAGACAGGCTTACAAGTTTTCTGTAATCATGTTTCCCAACATTTCTTTCTATACCACTCAAGTGTCTTATTTTATAGTAGTAGACAAGGGAAACCAATATTCATAAGACAATCAAACATTTTAGTATTATTTCCCCTCCTCAAACTATGCCTAGATCCCTGTATCACAGAGCCCTGTTGTTCCAAGGGTGAGCACGCATCACTATTTACCTCGGTCCCACTTAGGCCATGCAAACCTGTCTCAGTTTTCCCCTATCTATCTTGTTCTTCCACCTCCTACCCCTTCTTGTATTGCCCTCCCCAACACCAAAACTAAACAGCCCCACTGTTTTGGTTACCTTATATTCCATTAGTTCTTCCCTCCATTTAAGACAGTCTATTTTATCCTGTAATCTACCAGACCTTCTCACCACCTGGATCTCTATTCCTCTGTGTTACCTTCTTTCACATTGTAATTGTTTTGATCATAGACTGACCTCCCAGATCCTCTGTTTTTATCATTTTATTCTGTTCTTGACGCTTCCATTTGTCAATTGAGTTCAGGGTGATACTGCCACGTATGTCATTCTCTGGTTGTTGTCTGTTCTTGTTGGCTGTCAGTCCGCAGAACTTCCTTGAGGATGTTTTTTGTAGCATAGTTGGCCTTGGCAAAATCCCTTAGCTTTTGTTTATCCTGGAATGTTTTGATTACACCGTCGTATTTGATTGACTGCTTAGTATGCAAGTGTTTTTATCAGAACTGTTTTTAGAATACTCTTTTCAGAGGCAATAACATTAAAAATTCAACAAAATGAGCTAGGTACTCTTTAGAATAGTCTTGAACCACAGATTTTGCAGTTCAAACGGCTTTGCAGTCTGGCGCATTAACTCACAGTGCCACATTTAATCCATATCAGACTTGCCTCTCAAAATAAGCATTGCTGCCTCATATCTCCTTGAGCATTGAGTACAGTTTTAAAATTTTGAAATATCCTTCACATTTATTCTTTTTTTTTTTTTAAACGATTTTATATATTGTGAATTGAGTGATATGGGAGAGCATCCGGAGAACATCGGTTTTGCATTCATCCAATCGTATTTTGTTTTATTGCAATGATTACAATCCCCTCCATGCATCCTCATTTCATAGTATTTGCTTCTATTCCCTCTATTTTTTATAATTTTTTTTTTGATGTACACAAAAACGCTAATGAATAATATTTAAACAACCTAAGGGCACATTCTGCAAGTCTGCCTCCTGGCTGCCAGCACACAGTCCTTCACTTTCCCTGAGTCTAGAGTCCTCAGCTGCTGTATCTCTCCATGTCCTCATCTCTGCCTCCATCTCTGGTGTCTTTGTTTCTCTGGTTAGGGTCCCACATTCGGTTAATGCTCTTCTCTCTTGATTATACTAGGGTCCTCTGTTCCTGGAATGTAAGATTATCTATTTCCCCCTTTATGTTACAAAACTTCTACCTTTACAGTTGTGACAATCATGGTTAGTCATGATAATTGTTGTTGTTGTTGTTGTTAAGTGCCGTTGAGTCGGTTCCGACCCATAGCGACCCTGTACAGGGTTTCCGAGGGTGTAAATCT